TCTCAACCTGTGGGTCGCGACCCCTTTGGGGGTCGAACAACCCTTTCACAGGGGTCACCTACGACCATCAGAAAACACATATATAATTACATATTGTTTTTGTCATTAATCACTATGCTTTAATTATGTTCAATTTGTAACAATGAAATTGGGGGTCACAACAACATGAGGAACTATATTAAAGGGTTGCAGCATTAGGAAGGTTGAGAACCACTGCCTTAGACTTTAAGACCTTAGAATTTAGTCCTTTAGATAAGCTAAGCTCCTCTGACCCCCAAATGCCTTTCAAAATTGTATCTCATCTCTGGACTCTTTATTAGACTCTGGACTCCTCTATTTAACATCTATATGAAAGGACAGAACAGGACTGATAGCTGTGTCCCTAACCCCTCTTCCAAGAAAAAGCCGCAGAATGTATCAGTTACTCAGCCTGCCCTTATCTCGGCCAATGGGAAAGTGGGGGAAACTAGCCCAAGGCCAAGAGTATGCTAGCCATCCCTCTGTCTTTGTGTAACCAGACCCTAGCTGCACCCTGCTCTTGCATCACTAGCCCCCTGGCCCTCACTCAACCAACCTGAATCGGCCAAATCAGTGGTCAGAATGTGCCCGCACCCCCTGACCCCCAGCCCTATAAATTCTTTGTTCTCTTGGGACTCAGAGCTCTCTCTTGCATCCAGTAATGGAGGCGGGGGAGGGCGGGAGAGGGAGGACTAAGTCCTGGCCTTGAATAAAAGATTCTATGCTTTTGCATCAGACTCAGCTCCCTAGTGGTCTGTTTTGGGGGATTTTGAAATCTGGGCATAACACTATGCACAGCCTTCTCCATATTACTGAACACTTCTCAATGTTGGGACAAGAACCCCGGCACTCTGATTTTAAAAACAGCCATCAATTGCTTACATACCCTCACTATTTGCATGGAAACTTTACTCTGAGGGAGAGGAAAACTTAGTTGGGGAGGGTTAAGAACAGATAAAGTATCCCAATTATTTAGATGGCCCTTGTAAATCCTCTTTTTGTAATAATTTCAATCAACATAAAAGTATTTGTAAGAAGGGGAAATGCCCTCTCACAGTCCTAGAGCAGCCCTATGTTTGCTTCTGTTTTCTCTTTGTAAATTACACTTTAGGTTTTTATTGTTGTTATTTTCCACAATTTTCTTATGGTGGCCTGGCTTTTCCCAGCAAAAGACCCCTCTACAGTTTCACAGCAGACCTTATTTAGTAATTATGTTGTCATACTCTCAGAAACCAGTAGGTGTATTAAATGGAATAGGTCAGAATAGCCAAGAGTACATGTTCTAACACATTTTCATGACTCCATCAAGGTCCCAGATAAAGCTGGGGACAATTGCTAGTTTCTCTCTAATTGAGACCAGCTTTTACAAAGGTAGCTATTAGAATTCCTATTCTAATTCCTTCAAGTTAGTGGTATAAAGGAAACAGAAGGGGAAGGGAGAAGGGAGAACTGGCAAGTTTCAGAAAGGAAGGGAAGAAAACAGTGTGTAGGCATTTATTAACTTTAGAATAGTCCTGTGACAGTCTTTAAAATTTCTTATTAATATACTTTTTCTTTTTAAGAATTTTTTCTATATGTCTCCTTAGAAGCCTCTAATTTCCTAATCAAGATAGGTTCCCAGCCTGACTGGTTTGGCTCAGTGGATAGAGCATCAGCCTGCGGACCGAAAGGTCCCAGGTTCGATTCCAGGCAAGGGCATGTACCTTGGTTGCGGGCACATACCCAGTAGGAGGTGTGCAGGAGGCAGCTGATTGATGTTTCTTTCTCATCGATGT